ACTGTGCAAGAAAAGGAGAGAAGGCATTGCTGTCTCATCCGCTTGTGCATAGCCGAACCGGCCTGCTGCAGAACTTGGAGACCCCATATTTATTTTGGCATGCCAGGGCAGTACTGTTGACCGGTGGCAAGAGGCAAATTGAAGGTGGGAGCCAGGGCGATAAACCCCGCGCCATGGCTCGACACAACTGCAAAAAGCAATTGAAGGCCCGTAAGGAGCAATGAGCACATTGCTGTCGCAACCAGTGCGGCCGCTTGCTGTGGCAGAGGCCGACTGGTGAACCCCGTTGATGTGAGAAGTCGCGAAAGGTGCGGGGAGCCGGAGTCACAGCTCTGCCTCATCGGACTTTTTGGCCTTTTTGGAGGTGTCGCGTGTTTCTCGGCAGGTAAGCATCAAGTGCTTGAGCTCGTCCAGGCTGGACTGCATCTGTTGTTGTTGTTGACGTTGGGCGCCTTGCAACGACTCGGTGGACAGGCGGAGCTGTTCAGCAAAGGCTGCGCTCATCATGCTATCTGCTCCTGTATCTGATTGCTGGAGGCGGACGCCCTTTCCCGATCCACTGATTGTTGCTGGACGAGTTCCTGGTGGTTGGATTCCTGCCGCACACGTAATGCCTCTAGGCCTTCCTCCAACACCTGGAGCCGGGCCTCCTGCTGCTGAAAACGACTCTCAGTGGGGCCAGTAAGGCTACGACCGCTGCTTGTGGAGGGCACTGATGTTGCAGAAGAAATGCTGGCAAAGCTGCTGGCAGGCGCTGCGGAGCGCACTGCGTTGGACCAGGGATCCGAATGCAGCCAAGGGTCTTCAGCAGGGCCCGGGCCTGCAATGGCTTTGGCCGCGACTTTGTTGGGTCCGGGGACGTGTCGTGTGCCGGATTGCACAACCGGTTGTGCCGGCTCGCGCTTGGTCAAGGCCTCAATGAGCACGGCTTGGCCGTTAAAGGTCGGAAACTCAGTAGCAGGGTCGGCGCTGGCGCCGATCAGCCAATGCCGGGCTCCCAGACTTTTGATCACGCGGATGTTCCATGCCGACCTGCCAGCCCATGCGGTGATCTCGGCGGCGCCGGCCTCTGGGGGCAGCGGGCCTATTTTAAACATCTTAGAAACCGTCACTTTCTGAGGCACCATTTGGCCGGGGCGCAACTGCGCAAAGACTTCCGCAAGTCTTTTGGCGGACACCCGCAGGCCGTAGCGATCTTTGACCCTTGCCAGACCAAGTTGGCCCGGCACTTGCAGGGAGGCACGCAGGGCCTCAGCACGTGAGCTGCCAATCCAAATGATGGCATACGAATTGAGGATGCTGCGGTCCATTGCTCTCGGTGTGGCATAAAAGTGGTTATGACCGCTGGCGGCGAGAAGAGCATCAAGTTTGTCTGTGGCGACACGGGCCTGAAAAGAAAGTTTGTCTGCCAGGGAAGGCAACGCTGGTTTGGCAGCCTGGCTGAAGAAGCGTCCCCAAGGGGATGTAAAAGGTGTCTCAACCCCTTGTTTGCGGAAAGCCTCGCCTGCACTTCGGACCGGCGACCGGAGAAGGGTTTGCCAAGCCTCGGCCTCAAGTTCATCCGCGTAACAGTCTATGGAGCAACAATGCTGGTTGGGCAGATCAACCTGGATGTCATCAGCCGCCTGTTTGCGAATGCGCTTGCCCCCAATGTTATGGAGGCAACCTGCCAGCAGGAGCTTAGAACCGCAGGCAACCGAGGTGGCCGGAAAAGTCAGGTGTCCGTTGCATTCATCCGGTGCGGGGCAGCTGTGGCCTAGCACAAGCAGGCCTAGCTCATCGGGCTGGACGCCATGCAGGGCACGCAACAAGCCGATGGCATCAGCTTCATCAACCAGCAAGATCCCAGACACCCCAGGCTGGATCGTCGAGAGCACAGTTGCAGGGGAGCCGTTCTCGTTAAGAAAATAACCGGGAGACAAAAGAACCTCGGCGGCTGTGATGTGCAAGCGATTTTGCTTGTGACGCTTCTGCATAGAGGCACGGGCACGATGTTCTGCCTTGGCGGCCAAATTTTTGGCAGCGGGCGCTGGCACATCCGATTTCCCAGCAAGCTCAAGCCGTGCATTCCACCTGTCATTGGAAGGGCCGTCCTGGAGGGTCTGAGACAATCTTTGGGCCCCTGCGGCTGCAGCAAGCTGGTCCACAAATTGTGTGGTGGCCTCGAGGTCAGCACCATTGGCAAGGCATAGGGAAGCGGCCTTGGTTTTGGCCCAGTTGGCCGCGTCTGCCTTTGCCCCGCCACCGCGGAGCTCGGGATGCACTGTGAGAAGCAAACGTCCAGAGCGACGGATGACACATGAAGTCGGTTCCTGGAGCACGTCCTGCAAAGTGGTGTCTGGAGTTTTCGGATGCGGGCCAGAAAAGACACGGTGGCCAGGGAGGTAGCCGCAAGACACCGCTGCTGCTTGCCACCATGTCGAAATCAGGGCCAAGGTGACTGTTGCGGGCAGGCGGCCCGTCCACATGCGCAAAGCCACAAGCTGGACCTCAACCTCAACGCCTGGTTCGTTGCTGGGCACTGCGGAGGATTCAAGCTGAGCAACAAAAAGCCAAGTGCGCCAGGCATCCAACAGGATATCCGCAGGCATGTGCAGCATGTCGGCTCGGGGCTGCATGTCAAGCGAGAGGGGGCCCGTCTGCCCGGCAGGAGCAAAAGAAGCCTGGCTTTCCCAGCCTATAGCATCAAGTATGTGGAATGGCAGCCTCATCCAAACATCAAGCACTGCTGCCGCCTGCGCCTGCAGCCGCAGCCCTGTGAGGGTCCGGCAAACAGAAATTTTGCCAACATGTGGCCCTAAACCCGCCAGTGACAAGATTGGAAGGTCATCAGGCTCCGGGGCCGCGACAATGCAGGACGTGAACTGGTCAGTATGCAAAAGGCGTTGACCGCAGATGGAGAAGATGGCAAGTTCACCTGGGCCGGGCTCGATGTCACGAAAAAGCTTGAGAAGTTGTGACCACGTGCGAGGGGTCGAATGCTCCAGCACAAAGCAGCCTTGGGCAGTCAAGGCAACACAAAGGCCGTCCTTAGGTCCGCAACCTCCAACAAAACCGCCTAGGTTAATTCCCGGCGGGTATGCAAGTGGAACCGACATTGCCTGAAGGTGGCTAGATAGATCAGGGGGCAGACGTGAAGAGACCTCGGGACGGCCCAGGAGGTTAAACAAGCGTGCCGGCTCCATGTCAGGCGGAGCTTGCAATTGGATGGATCCTGCTGGAACCTGCGTTTGAATCGAGATGAAGGCTTCCGGCACCTGCTCATCAAGCGATGGCGCCATGCGGTGCCCGATGTTGGCCAGAACGTCAGCTGTTTGCTCCTGGTGACAGAAGATCCAGTCGGCCCCAAAAGGCATCAGCACTGTGTTGCGATTGTGCAATCGGGAAACCATACACCACCTCACTGCCTCGGCTGGTTCAGGTGCATGCGGGAGGCCGGCTGCAAGGCACACAATGGATAAGGGCGTCAGGGCGTGTGGCACTGCAATTGCGTTGCCCAGCAGCTTCATCTGTACTTTATGATCCCGGTGCAAGAAGACAGGACGCACAGCGCCATGTATGGCAGCAATCTCGGGCCCTGAAAAGAACCTGGCAATGCCTTCGTGCAACACAAGAGTGCCCATGATACCTTTTTCAAGCATGTGCGGGGGCAGGAGGTGCTGAAACTGATACTGCGCCATGAAAGTGCTGGCAACGTCAGTTGCTTTGCGTAAACGAAAGTCAACAGGGCGCTGTGGGCGCAAGCCTGGCCGGGACGGGCTAGTAAGGATCCATGTAGATAGCCATTGTTTCCTCGTCCGGCGTGTTGGCAGCTTTTAGGGCAGGAGGTAAAGGTATCAAAACCTTCCCCAATCTAAGATTCAAGCGTCGTTCCATGTTCCAAGCCCCAACCGTGAATGCTTTAGGAGAAGATGTCTGCCGGTGGCCCAGCACCAACAGGAAACGTTTCCTATGGCCCGGCAAAACGTCAACCAAATCAAGACTGGCCCGCCAGAGGACTTGGTAGCCTGCGTCGCTCCATGCCTGCATGATAAACTCGAAGTGTGGATGCTCAGGGAAGTTGGCAACCTGTTCGAAGGCAACCCAAGGAATGCGGAACACCCCAAGAATGTCAATGACGCGTAGTATGAGCATACCTTCTTCGGAGGCAACCCCTGACTCGCTGCCGGCGCGGGACCAGGGTTGACAGGGTGCTGACACCCATGCCAGTTGTACAGGACTGAAATTAAAAGCACGCAACCACCAGTTCCAATTCACATCGGCACATACATGGAAGTGAGGTCTGTCTTGCGCTTCATAAAGATCCTGTAGAGTAGATACTTCCGTCCAGTGGGCTTGCTGACAGGCTAGCATATCGCTACAATCCGGGTCCACGTCGATGGTCCATGCCATGTGGGTTGGGACACCGTTACGATGTAGTAGGAAGGCTGCCTGTGACCATCCAGCAAAACCGCCACTGAAGAACTCTGCTGCGCGGAGTGTTGTATCATGTCGAAGAGAGTGTGCCGTAACAATCACCGAGCGCATGTCCGTACAATCCAGAATGAAAGTGTTATCCTGGCCCCGAACCTGAGCTTGAAGAAGCTTGATGACACCTGTGGCCGCCTGGACCATGGGCCAGTCGGCACTTCTGAGAAGCAGGAGTACCCTGCGGGGAGACGACTCGTCGCCTCCTGTCTCACCTGTACTCGCGGTCGCAGACACAACGTCTGCTCTGATCTTGACCTGGCTATTCTCAAAAACAGGCTCCCCGATGACATTAACACAGAAGTTGTGCACCTGACCCTCTAAAGCGGAGGAGACTTGTCGGGCGTGTTGCAGGAGTCTTTTCCATTCAAGATTTGCCAGGGGACTCTGATCAGTTCGGTATGCATTGCCATATGTTGGAGTGTCCATGGCCCGATTGGCGTCCTACCCTGGTAGGATAACGGCACTGCCCCGTGTAGGCTCGGGCCGAAGTGCTTTAGACCCTTTACCCTGTTCTCTGAAGCTCTTCCGAGGCAAAAAGTCCGGGGAGTCGGTCGTCGCAGAAAGGCCAGGGTTTGGGCTTTGGGGCTGCTGGCTGCTTCAGGATTTTTGTTTCAAAGGCTTTACGGATTTTAGGTTCCTTCAGGATTTTTTTGTTTCAAAAGGTTTACGGGTTTTAGGTTCCTTCAGGATTTTTGTTTCAAAGGTTTGCGGATTTTCAGGTTTTGTCAGGGTTTTCTGTTCGTGAGGTTTAAGGATCGGTTCAGGCTGCTAGGTTCAGGGCTTACACTAAGGGCCTGGATTCTGGCGATTGCTCTAAGAGGTTCAAGTTCAGGGACCACGGGTTCATGTTGGCGATTTGGGGATTCAGGGTCACGGGGGGGGGGGGTTAGGGTTTAGGGTTTAGGGTTTTTGCGATGGCGGGTTTGGGAGTTTGAGGTTTTCGGTTTCGCGGCTTGAGGGATTGACAGTGGCTTTCGGAACCATGTAGGGTTCAGGAGTAATCTTGAGCCCTTCTTGGCAAGTAGATGATTGGTGCAAGGTGACGTTCAAGTTAAGGGTGAACGTGCATTAAGGCTGATACGGTTGATGATATAAATCCTGCAATACCCATAATAAGGAAAATACAATAATTCCCATAGTTTCGGGCCCTTCAGGTAATGCAGGATTTATATCATCAACCGTATGGGGTCTGAGCAATCAGTGAGAGGATCGACCAAGAGCCCCGATGTAGCAATGAGCTAAACCACACCCGCCAAAACCCTGCTCGAAGTGCTTCATTTTCTTAAATTGTATCTGTTTCAAACCAAATATCCATACTTCATAAGAAGGGTAGAGATTCTCTTGTATGCATTGCACTATTACTGAGGCCTGTGTGTCAGTCCGCATGTTGGTGCTGGGATGGTTGAGAGCTTCAGGGGAAGATGCGTGGTCAGGGCGCAGTGGTTTCCGGCGCTATGTGGGAGTTTCCGAAAATAGAGGACCCGAATATAGCACCCGAAATAGTAGGATCCTTATTATAGGGACCCCAAAATGAGGTACCCTAATTTTCGGAAACTCCCATGTGGAGCTTCTGAGGTCTATTGCTTAGGGCTCGCGGGCATAGGTTGCAGGGTTCGTTCGGCTTGGGATTTTGGGTATCAGACACAGAATCTTGGACCATGGTCGCTGGCTCAGGAGCTACGACCGTAAGGATCGAGAAATGGTGCGTACATACATCTACACATCAGGCTGAAGAGCCCCAATCCTTGCGAGATAAGCGACTTTCACTTGAGGTTTTGAGGGCGACTTTGAGAAAAATGGTGCCAACGATTCCCTAAGCCCGAACAGAGCCTTAAACCTTGAAGCCCTTAAAACCTTGAACCCTGAAACCTAGGAGTATCTTTCCCATACACTGAAACGGCCCTATTTGCCGTGGCCAGGTGCAGCTACATGGGCCTTACCGACCCTTCTTCTGCATGTTAAGAGCTGTCCAATACTATTCCTACTTAAAGGATCATGGGACTTAGTAACTAGGGTTCCTTTAAGGGCTCCTTAAAGGGATCTATGGGGGTTCCTTAAAGGGATCTATGGGGTTTGGGGTTTCGGCATCTACTTAAAGGATCATGGGACTTAGCAGCTAGGGTTATAATTGGGGTAGCTATACTTATAACTGCTTATAACCCCAACTCAGGTACTTATAGCCTTACTTACTAAGTCCCATGATCCTCCAAGTATTCCTAAGGGTTCCTCATGATGAACTATACGATAACATCATATTGTAGACGATCATTTACGATAGCATATTGGCGATTAAGGCCCTTACAGTAGGGGTCTGGGGTTTCGGGTTTCGCTTTATAGAGGCGGAAGGAATTGGCTCAAGGAAGAGGGTTTCCAGAAAGTCAGGGTTGAAGTTTAGGATTCGGGGGCTACGTGTTTAGGGTCATCGATTCATGTGTGTTAGGGGTTAGGTTTATGGGTTGCGGGTGTAGAGCGCCTCGTCACAGGACTTCCAGGTCTCAGCACGAAGCTTGCAAGAGGCTCTAAAAGCTCAAAACCTTTAAGGCCCTGCTCAAGCTCTGCAGTCTTACTGCTCTAAACCATCAGCCCTAAACGCTCAAGGCCTACAAGAAACATCGTCGGCCCTTTATTGATCACGAACACAGGCAAGTGATAGACCTATACCCCTTCTAGAATCCCGATAGATCCCTTTAAAGGACCCTTCAAGGAACCCTGATACCTACCCATAAACCTAAAGCCTCTAACCCCGCGGACCCGGCCAAGGACCAGCGGTGGGTTTGGGGAGATGACTGATCACGCAGGTATTGGAGGTTCATCGGTAGTTATAAGTGGGGCTATAAGTAGGGTAACTATACTGATAACTCATATTTGGGGACTTCTAACCCTACTTATAACTACCCATGAACCTCCAAGTAGGGTTCGTGCACGTCCAGATTTCCAGCCCGGAAAGAACGCTGACCCAAAGAGGTAGTCATCGGTAGTCTCCTCTTACTCTGACCGCCTGGCGGTACCCCTGGCCGGAAAAGATGCGGGAGGGTTGTAAACCCTAAATCCAAACCCCAGAACCAGAAACCCTAAACCCCAAAACCCTAAAACCCTAAACCCTACAACCCTAAACCCTAAACCACTAGAACCAGAAAGCCTAAACCCCAAAACCCTAAGCTCAAACCCCGGAGCCCTAGAGCCCGAATCCCTACCCCCGAATCCTCAGCTCCTCTGAACCTCCACGGGTTTCGCCATGAATTCAGGGCTCCGCAGCCTGCAGTTGGGGGAGCTCTGTAGGATTTAGGACTGTAGGGCTTTAGGGCTTCAGGTTTGCAGGGTTTGGGGAGTTTGAGTCTTCGAGGGTTTAGGGTTTTAGTCATGAAAGTTTGTGTTGCAAAAGCTTTGCTCCCCGTGGCGTTTCGATGAGCATAGACAGAGGGCCGGCAGATGCGTGCTTCATACCTTGGTCCGATAAATTCCCCAAACCCCCCCAATCCTAAACCCAGGGACGCAGGACAACGCAAAAAGGGTTGAGGGTCTAAAGTTCTCAAACCCTAACCTCGCAAGATGAAGGTAGGTTGGATAAAGGATCTCTCATATAAGGACTCTTATTTGGGAATATCCCACCTACCTTCATCCTTTCTCTTGAGGCCCCCGATAACCCAAACCCTAGACCCTAAACGGCCCTAAACCCTGATCCGGTTTAGTGTTTAGGGTTTGGGGTTTAGGGTTTAGGGTTTAGGGTTTGGGGTTTAGGGTACAGCTACGGATGCTGAGTGATTCTGACTGTCAGACTTTCGCTCGGACGCCGCCAAAAAATCCATGGCTTTTAAGTGGAGGGTTTCAGAATTCTAGGGTGTACCTGTAGCCGGAAAGACCTACCTTTTTTGAGGAACTCTATCTATCTATATATATATATATACATATATATATATATATATATATATATATAGAAACCATAATAAGGAGCGGTAGGGTTTAGGGCTGAAGCCGGCGGATGTGTAGGGCTGAAGGTCTCGAACTTTGGGCTTCCCTTCTTGAGGGTTCATGGGTAGTTATAAGTGGGGTTAGAAGTAGGGTAACTATACTTCTAACTCTTATTAGGGGACTTGTAACCACCTATGAACCTCCAAGTTGTACTTCAGATCAGAATTGAGAAGAACCGTCACAAAGGGTCTGTTCCGCTGCTGGCTCAGGCACGAGCTGTTTTCTTGGGGCTACATGTAGTGCTGGTTTTGTATCTCTAAGCTTTCTGTCCGAACGGGTTGGGGGTGTAGAGTCCCCGCCCCAGCCGCTCCGTACAGAGGAACCTCTACTACAGTACCAAGGAGCCTGTGAAGGAGCTTTCCCTAAAACCTAAACCCTAAACCCAAAAACCCTAAACCCCTAAACTTGCAGGACTTAAAGGAACCCTTTGAAGGAAGCCTGAGAAGTAGTTTTGAAGCTCTCGAAGCCGCCTTAAACCCTTCAGCACCCTATCCGAGCCCACCCCAAGCCCAACTCAGACCACAGCCCTACACTGTACAGCCTTCTAAACCCAGAAAGCACCGTAAACCCCAAACCCCAAAAGCAGCTTAAACACTAAAGCAGCACTAAACCCCAAACGCCCCCCCAAAACCCCAAACCCGGAACCCCCAAAAGCACCGTATACGCCCTCCTTGCGCCGTTTAAGAGCCATTGCGTCGCCAAGCAGAAGCCCTCCGGGGCTCCGTCCATGGCGGATGCGGCAGAGGTGAAGCCGAGCCTTGCACGATAAGTGCGGAATCCCACGGAAAAAGCCAGTTTGGTTTAGGGTGTAGCGTCTAGGGTTTGCGGTTCTGTAGACATTTGCCATTGCTGAAACATGCGATGTCAATATCAACCACATCAGGGTTTATGGTTTAAGGTGTGAGTTTTCAGGTGAGCGGAGGGAAGCAGTAATGTTATGCACAAAGCTTGCAATGTGGGTTGTCAAGGCTAGCAGCAGTCTCCTCACGCGCGCAACGAAGCAGCTCGTACGAGCAGATGTTGGAACAAGAACACGGAGAATGACGACGCATGACGACTTACACGCTGAGCGGTGTTGAGTACAACATATTCGTATCCAAAACAACAGCGTCATCGGAAACATAAGTACGGTTCGCATGCTGTGGTGTCGGGATCCAGCGGCGCTATCCGCCGATCCCCAAACCCCAAACCATAAACCCGGAACTCCAAACCCCAGAATCCTAAACCACAAGCCCTACACCCTGAATCCCTAAGCCCTAAACTGTAAACTCTAAACTGATAAGCTGCAAACCCTAGACCTCTAAACCACGAGCCCTACCCCTTAAATCCTTAAACCTAGACCCAAACCGGAGAACCCTAGCCCTCAATCACAAGTCCTACACCCCAAACCCCTGAAGCACCAAGCGCAGCTAAGGATTTGGGCTGAGCCAAGGACGGGATGCAATGGCGGTTTGCTGCGCGTGTGGGAGTAGTTGAACCAAGCCAGAATCCGGACCACATTTCTCAGTATATTCCGTTGCATGTAATGTACAGAATAAAGTGTATTATGTATTAATTAACGTAACATTGTACATGAGTATATACATATGTACATGCTCTATATGTGTGTGTATGTAACATATATATATATACACACACACATATGTATGTATGTATGTATGTATACGCACATGCAGATGAGTCTAAAACGAGTGCAAGAAGTCTTCGAAGAGCTGCACGCTGTCCTCCAAGAGTCTCGCGGTTTTTCTTCACAAGGCAAGAAGAAAATTATGGTTCCTTTTTGGGCACCCTAAATATTATGTGCCGTACTACATTAGGGACCCAAAAGGGGGCCATAATTGAAGCTCAAGTCTCGTCCCCCGAACATGGGACGAATGTAGAAGCTTAGGCAGCCAGCCATATTTTCTTGGAGTTCCTTGTTGTATCTAGTCTACACATGACTTATTCTCAACCCTGTGATCCCTAAACGATTCATTCCTAACACCTCAATCCTACATCCTGAAGCCTAATTCATCCTTAAACTCTAAACCCTGATTCCTCAACCCTAAGCCCTAAACCCTGAACCCTAAACCCCAACATGAGATTGCATCAAAATGCCAGGCAGCCGCATACAGAGGGTATACCGCGACTGCAGGCCACTCTGAGTTGCAAGGGCGCTCGTGTTCAGGGGCTTTAGGGCTTTAGGGCTTTAGGGTTTGAGGTTTAAGGGCTTTCGGGTTCAGGGGCTTTCGGGTTCAGGGTATCAGGCCTTGGGATTAGGGTTTAGGGTTCAGGGCTTGAAGGATTCAGGTTTTTGATGTTCGTTACTGCAGCTTATCAGTCATCCTACTCACCGATGTTTGTCTCTCAGATTCCAGACCTGTGGATCTGGCCCGATAGACCCTTGTCTTAAGGCTCTCGAATGACTCAGGAGCTGTGACATAGGCTTCTTTGCGAACCCCCACTCCACTGCAACGTTTAGGGTTTAGGGTTTGGGGGTGTCGGGTTGAGGGTTTGGGGTTTACAGTGTAGGTGTGGCGAAGCGTTCACAGTGAGGAATGCACCAGCACTAGCGCTGGCGTCACCACAACCGGCAGCACCAGAACTATCCCCATCACCAGCGTCCTTGTCATCCTCCTGCTCATCATCTCCTCATCCACATCCTCATTCTCAGTCTTGCGCTCATCATCATCCTCCTCATCATCATCGTCAAAGTCGTCATGGCTATAACATCATCACCATCATCGTGATCATCATCACCATCATCATCGCCAGCATCGCCCGTATCACTGGGTCATCAAGGTCAGTAGCATCATCGGCATGGCCATGGTCTTCTTCAGCTTCGCCACCACCATCACTATCAACAGCATCTTATTCTTTTGTACCACCATCATGTTCAAGACCGTCATTGTCAGCATCTTGCGTGCCATTGTCGTCGCCATCATCGTCATCACCATCATTCCCATCATCCTCACCCGCATTAGCTCTGCCTTATTTCACGACGCTAGTCGTCACCGCAACCTGCTTTCAGTGGCTCCCAAATCGAAAACTTGTCTTCAATTGCCCCAAGCTGCATCATCGAAACCGCTGAGACATCAACAGCCCTTAGCCTTCCGTCCTAAGCTCGATTCAGAGATGCTCCCAAAGTCCCAGTTACTGTTGGGGCCTAAATCATTACCAATACTTTTTTTTGGCGGGGCTTCTTATTATATTTATCGCATACTTGGCCCCAAAACTCAATTCTAGTTTTTAAGGCCCCCCTAAACCCTAAACCCTAAACCCCCTACGTTACCCGAAGTCTTGGCAAGGTGCCTGCTTCGGATGCCGGTGCCCGCCTGAACACGCGGATCACAGAAGGGTGTTCGTAGGATTCAGATCGTGCTTTCACATGCCGTATACCTGTATACCCTATACCCTAAACCCTAAACCCCTAAACCCCTAAATCCCTAAACCCTAAGTCCTAAACCCCATAAACCCCTAAGCCCTGCTTGCAAGGGGCGCCCAGGTAAAGTCGTTTCCCAAAGCGTTGGGCCTTGTGCTACGGTTTAGGGTCTAGTGACTTCGGTAGAGATGCCGTCAGTTGCAAGCATCAGATTGGTACATCTCTAAATCCTAAACCCTAAACCCTATTCGGCAGTTGCAGGATGCAGAATTCATATGGTCAGTGGTGAATCAACTGCAGCGGAACATACCCGCAAAGTCCTGCGCCAAGGCTCCACTCTCATACACTACACTCCAACATCCGATGTCCGTCACCGCTCCTGCAGCCCTCGCCCCCAAACCCGAAACCATTCTCTATCCGGACTCTGGCCCCTTTGCCGGCTGAAAATCAGGGCCTTAAG